ACCATACCATCTTCACTCTCACTTCATGACTTACTTTTTAAGGAATTATTCCTTTTTAAAAACAAATTTTTTATCTGGGTGCTTCCAAGAGTCACTACTCTTAGGAATTATTCCATTAAGAAAGCCCCGTATCCACTTATTCTCCTATTTAGAGAATTTCTTCGCTAATAATTCACATCCATCTTAAATGCAATTTCATATAACATAAACTCACAAGAACAATCATTTTCACACCCTCATGCAATAGTCTTTTATTCTTTGCCTCAATACATTAACATACAATCAGGCATAACTATGCATGTTATCAGACTATTCATAATTCTAGCTTTCCATTTCATTAATTCTTTTGTTAACTTTAACTTTTGTGGTTATAGAGCCTACGCTCCACTTGATCAGACTAACGTCAAATCTGTCAATTCAACACAATGTTCACTCTCACAGACATTGCATGCATCATCAAGAATACATCACTCACATGCATGCATTACACTTTATGCAACAACATGTCTATCATCATTACACTGGGTGGACAATTCACAAGAAAGAAATTTTCAAATCATACCTTCAACTTGCCTGAGAGTTTCCTCCCCATCATGTGGCTCTAAGGTATAATCTTGACCTCCTACTCGAGATCCAACAATTGCGTGTACATTTGAAATCCGATCAGTCCTAGTAGGACATACATTAGCAAAGTGACCCAGTTGGCCACATTTGAAGCACGACTTTGTTTCGTACCAACATGTGCCTCTATGTGTCTTCCCGCAGGTGTCACATTTAGACAGGGGGAATTCACTCACAACTGTCTCTCCTTGGTTTCCTTTTCTCTTAAATTTATCATCAGATTGCTTCGCTTGCAATTTCTTCTTTCCATTCTTGTCATCTATTTTCTTATTCTTTTCTAAAGTAGAGTCAGTTGCTCCACTAGCACCTGACGCTTGTGTCCCAGAAGACTTCTTGCTCTTTACCACATTATAAACTTCTTCTACTCTCCGGCATTGGTTCACAAACTTGCTAAACTCTCGGATATCACAATTAGACATCTTCCGAGACATTTTCTCATTCAGACCCCATTGAAATTTAGAGGTCATCTCGGCCGGAGTAGGTAAGGCTCTCCCATAATTAGCATATTTCACCAATTCGTTGAATTTAGCAAAATATTGGTCAATTGACATCGACCCTTGCTTTAGATCATTGTACTCATTCTGCTTCTGCTCCCTAGCCTCCCTAGGGAAGTAGTTGTCCAAGAATAACGTCTCGAACAACCGCCAGGTGATTTCCCGGCCTTCAGCTTCTAAGGGCTGCACTGTATTGGTCCACCAATCTTCCGCTTCCTCTTCCAGCATATAAACAGAGTAAGCCAACTTCATTACGTCAGGGCATCTCATTACCCTGAATATTTTCTCCATCGCTTGGAGCCACTTTGCAGCCGCCATTGGCTCATAACCTCCCTTAAAAGAAGGAGGTTTGTGTTTTCGGAAAGCCATCAATCTCCTTTCCTCCATTTCATGATCACCGACATTTTCAACTCGAGGTTGACGAACCTCAGTGTGATGACTCCGACTTCCAGAGTGGTGACTACCTTCACCCTCATTATTACCCAATCCACCCTCTTCCTGTGAAGGAGGTGGAGAAGGCGTAGCAGTGTGAGGAGGAGGAGTGGGTTGCCGGTTCACGGGCCTAGGACCCCTCAACGTCCTCAACTCGGTCATCATTGCGGCCATGGCAGTCCGCGAGTCTTCATTTGTTTTCATCAGATTTTCATTGGCTTGCCTGTTAGCAGCCAACTCCCTCTGAACAGCTGCAAGAGCTTCAGCCACGGGATCAGGCTGTACGCCCGTTGCCCCACGGCCACTTCTAGGCCTCACAAGAGCAGCCAAAACAGGTTCTGGCTGAGCATTGGTGTTTGATGGTCCGGGGTTATTCCGGTTCCTCGTCATGTCACTACACATGTTACACACAGAAATGAGTTGATCAGGCTCATACTTAGTGATCACAAGTGCAATAATCATAAAGAGTACCAAGACAACTATAAAGCATCAAACACTAAGCATACTCAACAATAGCTAACAGTTATTCCCTACGAAACTGCTCTGATACCATAAAATGTAACACCCCGTTCTAGAACCGGATTGTTATCATTGCGTACGGCATTAAGCGCAGTTACAATCACATTGGTTCAATTAGAAAACTGGATAAATTTTTCCTCTTTATACAAGCCGGATTCAAATAACCAAGTGCGTGATCATAACTATATATACTTCGCGGAATAGTGGGACAAAACTTAAGATTATATTCCCATTATACTTGACAATACGTCGTGAAATGTCTTCATCACTTTACTTATCAAATTAATTCTAAACTCCTTTTACGATTCCCATCTTCTACTATGTTATATTATTTTTCATTAGCTACGCGTGGGTTCAAACCGCGCTCAAATCGGAGCACCGTAGCCAAAGTTATGCACTTTTTAAGAAAAGGGTGCGAAACCTCCAGAACCCCCGCGCCCGCAGCGTGAGATCCACGCTCAGAGCGTGGGAAAACAGAAAGTTGGCGCCCCAAGCGTGAATCTGGCGCCCCAAGCGTGGATGCTACTGTCTGATCTCGTAATTTGGCGCCCCAAGCGTGAATTTGGCGCCCCAGGCGCCATCCACAGGGCTGGGTGACCCAAAACAAGGTCATTTAACCTACCTATAGTTTTCCACTCATAACTTGAGCTATACTCACTCAAATTACACCATTTTGGTCTCTATGGAAAGCTAAGAGAAATGTATACAACTTCCATAGAGACATCAAAGTCCAATTCCATCACATTGGGTATGAAAATTGGTCAAACGGACAGGATGTATTTGTTTTCTCAACATTTCCCAATTTAGCACTAGGTACCTAATTTAGTTTCCAGTTCAACAATCCAATACTTAATGAACATACATATATTAAACTCAAAGTACTCATCAATTACACATCATGTTCATTACAATTCATGGAACTTAGCTAACAAAACACTATGATCATTCCCTTGGCTCTTATCAACAAAAGAGATGACCAAAGGCATGAGCATAGGCTAAGTCCATTCCAATATACAATTCATACATCTATCAATGGTCTATGAATTACAATCCTATACATGTGAGCTACAAAACAACATGTACAATCTCAAAAGAAATGCCACATTTCATGCATAATCCAGATATGGCCACTTGCCACCAAAGGCTCCTGCAGCATCCTTACCTGAAAGGGGGTCCCCACAACACGGGGTGAGATATACGAATATATCCAGTAAACCAGGGGTCCTTGGAGTATCTCTCCACCCCACAGTTCCATATCAGTGTAATAGCAATAACTATAATAATGCAGTAAATACATATCTATGCAAAGTGCAATACATCTCCAGGAGAAATCCCTCGAGCTCTCAAGCTGTCCTAAGGAAACTCAGATGCAAATAGTCCTACTGGCCAGCTAACTACCAAGTATGATTTACGCATCGTCATGCAACATACCAACATAGGGAAACACCATCCTATGCCACACCAAATGCATACACATACGTATAACAAAGCATTACACTATTTTATTGCATTTATATACACAATCACAACCTCTACCCTTTCAGGGCTTGGTGGAACAGTCAAGGGAATTACACCCAAGGTCCGAAGGCTTACCTCAAGCTTTAGCCAACCTTTGTTCCCACCAACAGTTTCTGCAACCAGTTACAATTATCCACTCACCAAACAAAACCTACACAAGGTTTTATGCAATTAACACATATTGCATCCAATCACATCTCATAGCTATCAACCAAGCTATACAATTCATATCAAACATAAGCATGAACTTACCTATCCAATGGAGCTAATCAAGCTCCATAGCTTGCTCCAATGGTTGGTCTCTCAAGGTTGGTCCAATTGCCTCAATCCTAGACAACACCAAGGCATAATCAACAACCAACCAAACCATTTATTAACAAAGCAAGAAATCTAATCTCTAAGTGTCATATTCTTGCCATTTTCCAAATATACTCACTTAGCTATCTAAGCTCATTTTCACCGATTAAATGTCGTTCCTAGCATTTTTCACAACATGCTCTAAGCTCCATTCTTCCTAGAACATAGCTAATTTAACAACATTTTATCAAAAACCCTAAAACACTATTCATAAACCCCAACTCATGCAAATTTCAAGGAATCATGAGGTTCAAGGGTTAGAATCTTACCACCAATGGTCACACAACCAAGGATTGATGGCTCCTCAAGCTTCAATGGAGGTTGAAGCACTCAAAACCCCAAATTTCTCCAAAGGGCCGAATTTTTGAGGAGCAATATCCCTCTCCACAATGCTCCCCACTCAAAACCAAGCTAGGATTATGAAAGAGGGGAAGATTTGGAGTGGTTTAGGCTTTGGAATCACTCAAAATGGTTGAGATTAGCTCTCTCTCTCTCTCTCTCTCTCTCTCCCTTTCCCTCCTTCTCCTTCTTCTTCCTTTCTTCTTTTCTCTGATGCTGGCGACGGGAAAATGGGGTGGGAAATGGGTTTCTATTTGCTTTGGCCACTTAACATTAGTTAAGTGGAATCAAGTGGGTATTGGTTCGTCTATCTATTTAACTCCAATAATTACCAGACTTTACCCAAAAGTCTGGAATATTATTCTAGGAATATTTATAATTTTATTTTTATATTTTGGGCACTTTTGCCAGTACCCATTTATACTCCTTAATTTTCGCTGAGTACACTTTTTAACTCCAAAGTGACTCAGATTCATTTCATTAAGCCTTATACTTAATTTTACTCACTAAAACATGCTTAATTATTTAATTACTTGTAATTTACTAATTAATTAGGTTAGGGATATTATAGTACATCATTGAAAGAATTGGACCTCACACTTCTTCCTGCATGCTCCAAAGAGTGTCGCTTTTTGAGGCAACTTGACATTGATAATTGCTGGGATCTTCAAGAAATTAGAGGAATTCCGCCAAACTTGAAATTTCTCTCTGCAAAAAACTGCACGTCCTTGACTTTTGGGTTTACAAACATGTTAATGAATGAGGTTTGTATATTTTATTATTTGCTTTTATAATTTTTGTTCTCATTTTCTCAGACGCTATGTATATGTATGCGTCGCTAAACTTATGAATTATATATGATTAAAAGGAATTGCACGAGGCTGGATGTAAGAAGTTTTGTTTGCCAGCAACAAGGATTCCAGAGTGGTTCGAGCACCAGAGAAAAGGAGTGCCAATGTCTTTCTGGTTTCGCAACAAATTCCCTGCCATATCTCTCTGTCTTTTTACTGGAAGAGTTGCATCTTGGTTCTTAGAACTCTGTTGCCTCAAATTGATCATCAATGGAAAGAAAGCTTTCCCCATAATGGAAGAGTTTCCTTTTTGTTGCAATCTCAACAATGGCCATATACTAATTTTTTCTCTTAAACTGACAGACTTGGGTGATAATGTGGATGAAGTACTTTTAGAAAATGAATGGAATCATGTGGTGTTTGCTTTTGATTTTGTTTCTCTTCATCGAGTGTTGGTAAGGAATCCATTCTGCATACAAACTGGACTCCACGTATTAAAACAAACATGTAGCATGGAGGATATGCAATTCGAGGACCCTTATATCAGCATGTTGGAAAAAGAAAAGCACAAACTGGACACGGTAGTTTCTCAGATACCATTTGTGCAGCACCAACAAAATTCGGCTTCATTGGCTTTATCGGAACTGCATGTGGGACGGGGCCTTCCACCTCCAGCATTGAACGATAATGTGAATCAGGATTCAAATTTAATGGTATCAATGAGGAAAAGTAGCACAACTGTTGTACGAGGTAAATATTCTTGTGGCATTTCTTTCTAACTTAGTAGCCCTATATATTATGCTCTGCTACATTAATGCAAGAAACCAGAAAATGAGTGCTCATGTAGTGCATTATTAAAGCTTTTCTTAAAAAATATAAATTATTTCAATTAGGTATTTAAGTAATGTAAGAGAAATCGAATGCTATCTGATTATGCATTAGTAAGAATAGATAATTTGTAAATTTTGATTGAACAAGAATGTTTAAGCTATTTGGCTTAATAATTTGAAATAACTTATTCAACTTAATAATCGAAACAGGATTTGGAACTGCTTCAAGAAAGAGAAAAATAGTTTCATTAAGTTTGGACTTGGACAATGAACCTGGTGAGCTATTTTGTCATGCAACTTCAAAAGTGGTTTTGGATTCAGATTCAATAATGCCAAGCTTGGCTAGTGATACCACTGGTGATGAAGGTAAACAATCTGGTCCTATTTATTTCTCTTTGTATTATGATTGCCTTGGTAATTTTATGCAGAGATAGAGTTCTTAGGAGACTGAGTTTGTTTTTATCATAAGATATACATTCAAATTGAGATTTTGTTATTTTAATAAAAATTAAACCAATAAGGTATATTAAAATGTCAATTCCACCAAGGAAGGGTTATATTCATGTCCTTCACATGGATGTTTGATCAGTTTTAGAGCATTGACAAAGACTTTGTGGGTGATTGAACCTAGCTTTCCTTGTCACTACAAGATCTTTTACTTGGAGATTTTTTAGTGACTACACAGTTTGGTTTACGAGGGAGAGCCTTAGAGAAGTGTTAAGGTAGTTCTTTTGGAAAGTCACGGGTTCGAGTCTAGGAAATAATCTCTTTACAAAAATGTAGGAGTAAGGCTGCGTATAATCGATCTTCTCCCTCATGCACTCAAAGTCGAGAAGTCTTATGCACTGGGGTTTGCCCTTGACCATTTGGTTTACCTTTAAAAATGGAGTAGTGTTACGACTGAGATTGTAAAAAGGCCTTAGATTGGGCCATGGTAGTATAGCTTAATCGGGAAGCCTAATGACTTGTATATAAGGGGAATATACCTGTGTTAGGGATTTTGACAAATATTAGATTAGACTGAGAGTGCTCAGTGAGAAGGGGAGTGCCCCTTAGGAAGAGAAGTGTCTCTTGTATGTCCATTGTTTTCTTTTTCATCAATAAACAAATCTTTTTCTTCCATTTTCCATTTTTCCCTTCATTTTTCCCTTTCACTTTGCAAGTATCAGACTTTAGAAAATCCAGAGCCGGAACAAGTAGACAGTAAGAGATGAGTTTTATATGAAAAAATGATATAAAAAATCATCCTTCAATTTATTGCATATATGGAATTCTCAACTGATGAATTTTTTACCATAAGATGCACATGGAGATTCTGTTGGTTTTTAATTTACATATAAAGCAATGAGGTCAATTAAAATTTCAATTCCAAAATCTTAAAAGACCCTCTCCTTAGAATTATCTAGCTTAATTTGCTGTGCTTTGCTTTTATTCGTAGGGTTAATTTCATATAATCCAACTATAGACAACTGAGTACAGAAGAAATTACTTAAGGATGAAGAGAAATTCTTTAAGTCCTCGAGGTGCATGAGATTTCTCGTGTAACATAAAAAATGTAGTTAAATTGAGAGATAATATTGACTTGTGTAAATGAAGCGGTACTTATTTAATGGTAGAGTAAGTGTAACATCCCCGTCTCGAGCCGGTTCAATTAACATACATATGATACAAACAGAAACAGCGGAAGACTTAACTTACAAAAATATGAGCTAACTTTTTCTTTTTCTAACTTAATTCTTACTCGGCGTAAACGAAAATCGGGCAGAGTTTCCTCTATAAATCGGACAACTGGGGATTTTCCAATCCCACTCAGAAGCATTTCCTGATAAACAGTTTATACAACATATCAATTCAGAAATACCAGATATCCAAATATAATCAAATACCCATACATGGGCGCATGCATAACATGGCTCCGTGCCACTAAATCTAACAGCATGCCATCAAAACATAAACCTATCTGAATACTACATCATCATATAACGTTCCTGAATACTCAAATGTACATGCATCAAACTGATAGACATGTACAAAACATATACAGGCCATATACAAAATAAAGGATCAACATCATGATCCATCAAATGCGAAAATACTAGAATACATCAAACACTCCAAAAAGGTAGTAACCTACAGCCACTCAAAATCCGGTCTGTCAACTGCCTCAGCCACGTGTCGTGTCCCTGCCTAGTGAGGACTCACCGGAAATCTGGGCCCCTGAAAATGTGTCCCCAAAGAGGGGTGAGATTACAAATCTCAATAAGCTCCAGGTTTATAGAGAATTCTCCATACCCCTGGCTCACTCCTGCATGAAATTCAGATACAGAGTATACAAATACAACATATAACAGATATCATAACAGAACAGAGCATATATCCATATCATATCAGAGATGTGCGCCGTCATTCCCAAGGGAGGACCCCAAGCGGAAATCAACGCACGTGTTCCCGAGGGAGGACCCCAAAGCGGAACCAGACATATCAGAGGAGTACACCATCAGTCCCGAGGGAGGACCCCAAAGCGGACGTCCGGGTACTATACAATCAATGGCCAGAGATTGTTACAGAAATCAAATTACAGAAGTCACATCAGAGCAAAACATATCATGTTATCAAATAACTCTATATGAATGCATCTATACAAAGCATCTAAATCACAGTCATACAGTCCAACCATAGTTCACTAACCATGGTGGAGCACTCAAGCAGGAAAAGACTCCTTAAACATAGAGCTTACCTCTTGAAGCTTTACCAATACGCTTACTTGTGGAACAAGTTACTTTTATCGCTTCAAGAGATTTCCGATCCTTCTCAATCCCTAGGCACACCTAGAGAATAATTTACAATGCATCAATAAAATGATGCAATACCATAATTATTTCATAAGCATACATTTTATCGCTTATTTTCCTTTCTTTGCATTTTTGCCAATCCTATGCCAATACACAAGTCTAGACCTCTTTATAACCGTTGGTGTTCTTTAATTTAATCAACCATTCCCTTAGGAATTTTCAACATAAATCATGCTATTTTTCTTCAAAACTCATCACCTTTATACAATTTATTACAACACATTTTATTTAAAATAAAATGTACAAAATATATCCCTAAATACCCTATAGGTCGAATCCTACAAGGGGAATTTCCAAAGATCCTTCTCTTTTACAATGCATTTTCGTTACTTCATTACAACTTGCAAACACCTAGGAATGCTTCCACTAAATTCCTATTTTGAGTTTAGACACCAAGTCCTTTTTACTTAGGCATTCTTACTAACTCATCCATTTTCACTCATTTCCAACACACTATACCTTCACAATTCTTAAGATAAAATTTTTTGCACAACAACCTACTCTTCATCTATGATGGCCGAACATGTAGAGGAAATCATAGGATTTTTTTCTAATTTTTTTACATACATGCAAATGCTTATTTTCATTTTATACATCAAAATATCAATTATTCCTCATCAATACATATTTTAACACATCATGCTTTTCCACCCAAGGCATATACACAATTTTATAACTTAAATAATCAAAACAACATCATGGAAATAGAGGTTTGTTACCTCAAATCAACTACCCAAAGCCTAGAAGACCTACACCAAGAGAATCTCCATCAAAAACTTCATTTTGCCCTCTTGATGAATAGTACACGAATTTGGGGAAGGAAATATCTCCTCACACAACCAATGATAGCTCAAATAAATGGGTGGGATGGACTCATTGGGTGGTTTCCCATCGATTTCAAGTAGTGGGACTTGTGATTTGGTTAACTTTGGAGTGAGAATCAAAGAAATTAAGAACCAAACCCTACCCCCCCTTTTCACCAAGTGCAGCTCGGCTTCTTTGAGGAAGAGAGGAGAGAGAGCTGATTTTGAATAGTGCTCATTTGAGTCACTTAAGCTTTTAAGCACATGTGGCCCTTTTACCCGGTTGTTTTTCTATCGCGTATTTTTACTTAATTGACCCGGAACTTAACTTAAAGCTACAGATATATTTTTATTTTTCTAAAGTCATTTAAATTAATTTTTATTTCCTAAGTAACAATATTCATAATTCACAGTATGGTTTTTGCACCGTTTTTGACGAAATGCACTGTGCATCACTAATTGTACTTCCTTTACTTACGAAACTTAAAACTTATAAACTTATCATTTTCTTGGGCCTATATTGACTTGCTTGGCATATATTGGACTTTCTTATTCTTATTTCATCAATTATTTATTTCTGGACTCTACCGGTTGCTTAAACAGCAGTACAAAATACCCGGTAGAAACACTATTCACGAGATTTTCACGGAAAGTGCCAGACTATACAATTTTTCGTTCTGAAATCATATTTGTCATCAGAATTTTCAAATTATGTTCCTAAAATTATTTTGCTCATTTTAAGCTCTACCGGTTAATTCACAAAACTGTAAATTCTCCGGCAGAACGCACTGTTCATAACATAGTCATGATTACAGTCAAAATACTCGAAATCGCTCACTGAATCTAATTATGGCATTTAAATCCTTAAATTAAATCTCTAACTAAGATTTACCAGTTAGGGTCATTATATTCACCCCACCTTTTAAGGATTTTGCCCACAAAATCAAATATCAAATATACATATACCTGACATCAAACTCAGGATATCGCTGGAGAATTTCATTCTCCCGCTCCCAAGTGGCGTCCTCAGGAGTCAATCCTTCCCATTGTACCTTGATCATGGGAATAGTCCTGTTTCTCAACACTTTTTCATCACGTGCTAGAACCTTAAACGGTCCCACAACAAACTTCAAGTCTTTTCTTACTTCGATATTGTCCGGCTGTACAATGTGGGATTCATCCGGCACGTATTTTCGAAGTTGACTGATGTGAAAAACACTATGCAAATTTGACAGATGTGGAGGTAAGGCAAGCTGATAAGCCACAGGTCCAACCCTTTTCATAATCTGGTAGGGCCCAATGAACCTAGGACTCAACTTCCTCACTCCTAGAGCACGCCCAACACCCGTAGTCGGAGACAAACGGATAAATACATGATCCCCTTCTGAAAATTCAAGGGGTCTATGCTTTGCATCATAATAACTCTTTTGGCGACTCTGTGCTTTCTTCAATCGATCCTTAATCATCATAATTTGATCGGTAGTCTCTTGGACCATATCAGGCCCAAATAACTGCCTCTCTCCAATTTCTGACCAACAAGTAGGCGCCCTGCACCTACGGCCATACAAAGCTTCATACGGAGCCATGCCCAAACTGGCATGATAACTATTATTGTAGGAAAATTCCACTAGAGGAAGATATTTATCCCATGCATTTCCCTGCTCTAAGGCACAAGCCCTCAACATGTCCTCCAGGGTCTGAATAGTCCTCT